CTCCTCTGACATTGCCTTTGCAATTGCAAATAATATAAATGAAATAGAGGAGAGTTCAGTGGAGAAACCAACTCTTGGAGGCCTCAATTTCAGCATTCACTTGTGGATTTGAAAGAACAGCTTTAAAAATGAATTGTTTGTATAAACCTGCACATTTGCAAAGCTGATTTCACTGGTTTTACTCACTCCCCCTGTGTGAGTTAGGCACAAGGCATGCACTGAGCTAGAGAGGTTCTGCAGGCTTCACAATTCACAAGGAAAACTTAGAAATTCCTTCTCCCTTACTCTGGTGTGGCACTGAACAATGACAACGCTCTTCCTGTGAGGGCAAGATCCCAGCAAAAGGACAGAGAACATTTCCCAACGTGGGGAGCATTAGAGTTCCCCTTCCCTGGTGGACCCACATTAAAAATCAGTGTTCAAACACTCAGATTCAGAAGGAAAAAGGCCACCTACCTCTCTTGTTGGGACGAGTACAAGTGCATAAGGGCCATCACTGCGCTGCAAACACACAAGGTCAGGTCCTCTAAGAATGTAGCACTGAGAAACAGAGCCCTTCCACACCTCACAGCTCTTAGACAACACAGAGAGTTCTGAAGGGCTTTAGTACAAGTTTGTACACAACATTTTAGGGTATTCCCACCTCACAGATTTTTTAAAAAATCAAGTCTTTCACCTATCAATCCTGTATTGGCTTCTCTTCCCTCCTGGGAACCTGCTCACAGTCAAACCCAACATTTTATTCCACACACACATTGTTTCACTTTTGTATTTTCTGAGCTGCATAAACACTCTCCTGTTTGATGCACAGCAACAACCTACAGGTAACACCTGCAGAAAGTAACTACCTAGGATGGCTTGGAAACTCTTCCACCTGTAAGTCAGGATGATCTCTTTCCATAAAAAGATGGAAGATCTGCAGCAGCATTTCCTGGTCAACCAGATGATCCAAACTGGGAGCAACTATCAAATCTCGCTCCATGTCAAAGACTAGTTAATCTTAAAGACAAGGCAGTGAGCTCTGTTTTCAGCCCTCCCAACCTCCAGACCATTGTCTCTCCTGCACTCTACCTTCTCCAAACCTGATAATTCAGCCTATTTGCAGTTTACCCTGCTCCAAGGAGCAATGGGGAATGGGTGACATTGATCTTGGATCAGCTGTGTCTCAAGAGAACATCACATGCACAAATAAAGAGGAAGATACACTGATTGATCTCTACATCAAGAAGAGACAGTAATGACTACAAGAGCTGGATTTTATTTTTATTAATCTTATTATCAAAAGCAAATATATTCAATTCTGTTGCACCTACCTGTATTTTGGATTCCATTCCTTGCAAAGACTGTACAAGTGGAATCCCATAGGCAAGAGTTTTACCTTTTTGAAAGGGAGAAAATCAGAAAACTTTCCATCAAAAGAAAACCACGTGGCAATTACAGCACTTCAGCAAATTAAAGCACCATTTGTCCCACCATTCTTAAACTGCATTCAGAGCCTGACCCCCACCAGCCTTCCCAGCCTGGCACTGTATGAGCTGTACTGGGAATGTGAGGTTTAAGTTCTGCATTTGGGATCCAGTTAAAATGCCCTAAGGAAGGAGAGTGACAATTCAATACTGACCTGAGCCAGTCTGAGATCTCACCAGAGCATCTCTGCCTTGGAGGAGCACAGGAATTGTTTGCTTCTGAACACTGTGTGACAAACCAAACAGGTGAGGAAATACAAATGAGACAGAGGATAGAATCCAACAGCTTTCCTATGCAGCTTCTGTTTCCCCCAAATTCCACACATTCATCTCTGCTATGTGGCTACATCAGTTGAGGTGATTTCCAAGCAAAGCCATTAGACAGGCATCAGATGTGATCAATTCAAATCAGGTTTTATGATTCAAGGACCAAACCAGAAGGCAGGACTCCCAGGTTCCACCTTCAGCTGTGACCTGCTGCGTAACCAACAAGCTATTTCCCATCCCAAACTTTGGAAGCAACAAACCCCAAAGCAAATGGGACATCAGGCACTGTGGTCTTCACAAACCAATTACATATAATGAAGCAATCACAGATGATTGGCTATAATGGGTAGTGAAGCACAAAGATTTTATATTAATTTGCTTACCTGGTCATGCTACTTATGTTCAGGACAGTGTTTATGGTGGAGATCTAGAGAGACAACAAAGAGCAGTAAAGGTTTAATTCTCAAACTGTTCCTTTTGTCATTTTTTTGTAGCACAAAGAGCAAAAACTAGAAGACTGATACTTATTCTCTATATAACTGGTACAGGGCAACCAAATATAAAGTTCTCATGTCCTTGAAGTTCTTCTAATTAATCAGAATTACACCACTGCTGGTTTTCTGGGGTTTTTTGGTATAACAGCTGCAAGTAGTGAAGGTGCTGGGACTGTGTTTGGGTCAGGTCAGGGGCCAGCACCTTGAGGTGAGAGACTGCAACAGAATCAGGTGAAGTACTGGCAACCCTGTCCAGGTCACCACGAATAAAGGTGCCTCTCTCAGCTCTCTGATCTGTTCCCCACCAAAAAAGTCATGTTTTGAGCTGTGCAGCTTCCCTGCCACTCACCAGATGAGGATGGAGGTCCAACTGGCTGAAAGAATCCGTAGTGAAAACATTTTCTTGCACCTGCTGCACTGCTTTTCTGAGCCAGGGGAAACAAAGCAAACAAAGCACACAGTGGGGTTAAAAACTATACATCAGCATTCTATACAAACAGCAAAGAAACTACAGTACCAAGCAAGGGCAAGAATTTGAGACACTGACTATCAAGGCATTGAAAGGGGTTTTTTTTTCCCTCCCATTTGTCTCAAATACCTGTGAATTTCTGGGATATCTGGGTTGTTTTTGAACAGGCTGGATGTCTTAATGAAAGGTCTGCTCTTCTGGCTTTCATTTCGGTTGTCAGTCAGCTGCTTCTTGGGAACTGGCTTTTGTGGTGGATTCCCCTTCCCCCTCCTGTCAGCCTCCGTGGCACCTTTCCTGAAGGTGTTCAGGGATGGTTTCCGTTGGCGTTTCTCAGGTGGGTTTCCACGTGGTGACTGGAGCTTCCTCTTCAGAGCACCGGGTTGCTTCAACATGAACAAACAAACCAGTCATTAATGACTGACAATTAACAAGGTGATATCCTGGTGAGCACAAACACCAGCCCACAGAGCCCTTATTTTTGGAATCTCCCACTCCATGATTAAAGAAATTAAGTTTGACTTTTGCAGCTGCACAGTTGCTACTCCAGTAGATCCACCACCATGTCTGGGATTTCTGACACTTTCAAAAATCTGAAGTCATATCTAAGTGCTCTTCCCTAAAGGATTTCATCCAGCTTCTCCAGTGACTGAGCAGAACATGCTTTAAAAAACTTCTCTCTCAAGCTCTGCAGATCTCCAGCCCACATTACAGCCATGCCTCCAGGATTCCCTCTTTCTGTGGGCACAAGGGATGGCCTGGACTTCTCTCCAACTTATGCTTCTGCCAACTCTCAGCCTTTCTGAGCTCTTGATTTCTTCTTCTGCAGCTGATCTTCAATCACCTAAGAAAAGCTTTTGCTCTCCCCATATCCCTCCAGGAACAGTGAATTAGCAAATTAAACTTCATTTGCTCCCAAAGCTCTTCAGTGTCCCCCACCCCTTTTTCAATGAACTTGTTCTTCCCCATCACAACTGCAAAACTCCTGAAACATGTGAGATACCAGCAGAATCTCATCCCATTTTTCCCCTCTCTCTTCCTCACTCTGAGTTGCACTCTTTTGTCTTCCCACAAACCACACTGTTCTCAAGTTCTCTTATTTTTTTTCACTTGTTTCTCCACATGTTGGGCAAACAACCAAAACCCAACCTCCTTCCACCAACGATCACCATCAGGAAAGTGGGGGTGCCCTGTCTCAAAGCACCTGATACAATAAGGACAAATCCTGTCACTCCCTTTACTCACACACCCTTAAGCACAGTATTTTAAGAAGAATTTTAAAATTCAGAATAACAACTGAAACAGCCCAGAACCACTCTAACAACAACTTTAAAACCGAAAACGTGTATTTAATCCGTTCTTATGCTCCTTTCCTCAAAACAAAGCACCTATTCTTGCAGCTCACAGCACACCCACAATTAGAAAATTTCTTGAAAGCATAAGACTTCCCCTCTCTGGCAGCATTTTAAAGCATCCGGGGATGAGGCAGAGAGAGCTGGGGGAGCATCACCCACGGGCCGATAACAGGTGAGGGCAGGGCTGGACTGTCCCCCCGCAGCCCACCCGCGGGGCTCGGGCGAGCTCGGACCTGCCTGATCCCGAAACCGCGAGCCGGGGAGCCCCTGCGAGCCTCTGCTGCGGGGGGACCCAAAAGCCCCATTTAACAACTTGTCGGACGCTGAGCCCCCGATCCCCGGGCCGGTCGGGGTCCCGTGTCCTGTGTTTCATGTCCCGCAGGCTCCCCTGTCCCGCACAGTCCCGTGCCCCGCAGTGTCACGCAGCGTCCCACGTCCTATCCCGGAGTGTCCCGTATCCCCTGTCCCGCACAGTCCCATGTCCCGCACAGTTCCCACGCCCTGCGTTCCGTAGTGTCCTGCAGTGTCCCGTGTCCCGCACTGTCCCGTGTCCCGCACTGTCCCGCAGTTCCCGCTCCCCCGCTAGTACCGCGCCGATCCCGCGCGGCCCCGCTCCCGCCGCCATGTCCCTCCCTCTCCTCCGCAGGCCCCCGGGGCCGCCCCTCGCCCGGCCCGGTCCGTGAAGGAAGGGCGGCAGCGAGCCCCGTTCCCCCTTCCGGGTACCGAAGCCCTCCCGTCGCCCCCTCCCCACCCCTCAGCGCCGCGGGGAGCTCGGGAGTCTCCCCGCTCCCCCTCCACTCGCGCCCGGGCCCCGCAGGGCGCGCAGGCAGAGGAGGGGGCAGCCCCAGGCCGGGCCCGCCCGGGGGGGCTTCGGCGGCGGCGCGTGCGCGTGGCCCGAGAGGCGGTGGCAACATGGCGGCGGCGGGGCGGGAGGAGCCGCCGCTGAGGCTCGAGGTGGTGGCGGCGGAGGAGGCGGCGGCGGCGGCGAGCGCCGGGTTCCGCCTCACGGCCGTGCGGCGGGAGCCCGCGGTGCGGCTGCAGCACGGCGCCAGCGGCCTGGAGCCGCTGGCGTGGTCCGAGGACCACCGGGTGTCGGTGAGCACGGCCCGCAGCATCGCCGTGCTGGAGCAGCTCAGCGACGTGCACAGCGGCGGGCAGGACATGGTCATCCACCGCACCGCCGTGCCCGCGCCCGCCACCGCCTGCCTGCTCAAGGTGAGCGCCCGGCACGGCCTCAGTGGCACCTCGTTAGTGTGTGTGAATATATAAAGGAGGGGGTGTGGTGCCACGGGGATGGAGACGGGGGTTGGACATCAGGAGGGATTTCTGCACAGAAAGGGTCATTAGACACTGGAAGGGGCTCCCCAGGGAGGTGAAGGAGACTCCGTCCCTGGAAGTGTTTAAGGAAAGAGTGGATCGTAGCACTTAGTGCCATGGTGGTGTTGGGTCACAGGTTGGACTCGATGATCTTTGAGGTGTTTTCCAACCTAATTGATCCTGTGATTTTGCTTTGTGTTGCCAACCACGTGGACACGAGGCAATGGGCAGAAACTGGTGCCCCAGAAGCTCCACCTGAACACGAGGAAGAACTTCTTCACTGTGCAGTGACAGGAACAGGTCACCTGGAGAGGGTGTGGAATCTCCTCACTGGAGATATTCCAGAGCCACCTGGACACAATCCTATGTCATGTGCTCTGGGATGGCCCTGCTGGAGCAGGGAATGGAACAGATGACCCACTGTGGTCCCTTCCAGCCTCACCCATTCTGGGATCCTGATCCCCCTCCTGGGGAGCCACCCCAGCGCTGCCCCTTCTCCACACAACTTTCTGCAGGATCTCATGTGTTGATGTGTTTTAAAAGCACAGGAGAGAAAAAAAACCTATCCCAGTGATGTCCAGGGGAAATGTGATCCAGTATTGAGGAGGTTTCAGGGATTCTAAAGTTCTGTGTTTTTCTAAGAATCACTTGAGCTCCAGTGCAGTTATTTCAGTACAATTTTAAGGAGGAATCTTCCTTGGTTTGCTGCCTAAGCTGAAGGATTTTTGCAGCAGGGATTGCTTTGTCCTTCAGAGGAGTACCTGATTTTTTACAAAGTTGACAAGTCTGGGTGAATATTTTATTAAATAATAATTCTGTTATCGTGGATCTGATTTTATGTTCCAAAACAATGCTGAGAATATGGAAGAGTTGAAATATTGAGTGTTTTACACTTTAAATGTTATACAGCAGTATGAAAACAGGCTCTTTGATTCAGCAGACAAAAAAATTCAAAAGCTGAGAGTCAAAACAATACAAATTCCTACAAGTTCATCAGGGCATTAATGAGGCTGAAACCTTTAGGAGTGACCTTAATTAACCATTGCAATGACGTAGGGTAGGTTGTCGTACAGGATGCTCTGTTTCAAGTGGGAATTAATTCCAAGAGAGCATTGCTAAAAAATTAGTTGTACAATCGTTTTAATAGTTCTTTTTGTTGTCTTGTAGGTCGGCCCCAAAAAGGAGGTGGCTGAGTGCAAGGAGAAGTTTGCCAGCTCCGTGGATCCGACCGTGAGCCAGACGTTCATGCTGGACCGAGTGTTCAACCCCGAGGGGAAGTCCCTGACACCCATGAGGGGGTTCAAATATTCCAGCTGGTCCCCTCTGGGCTGTGACGCCAACGGGAGGTGCCTCCTGGCCGCCCTGACCATGGACAACCGGCTGACCATCCACGCCAACCTCAACCGGCTGCAGTGGGTGCAGCTGGTGGACCTGACCGAGCTCTACGGGGAGCGCCTGTTCGAGGCCGGCTACAAACTCTGCAAGGCCGACACTCCCTGCGGGGAGCTGGGCGACTTCCCGGAGTTCCAGCGGCGGCACAGCATGCAGGCCCCCGTGCGCATGGAGTGGTCGGGAACCTGCACCACCCAGCAGGTCAAGCACAACAACGAGTGCCGGGATGTGGGGAGCGTGCTCCTGGCCGTGCTCTTCGAGAACGGCAACATCGCCGTGTGGCAGTTCCAGCTGCCCTTCCTGGGGAAGGAATCCATTACTTCCTGCAACACCATAGAGTCCGGGATAAGCTCCCCCAGCGTGTTGTCCTGGTGGGAATACGAGCACAACAACCGGAAGATGAGCGGGCTGATCGTGGGCAGCGCGTACGGCCCCGTTAAGATCCTCCCCGTCAACCTCAAGGCGGTCAAGGGCTACTTCACACTCAGACAGCCCGTGGTGCTGTGGCAGGAGATGGACCAGCTGCCCGTGCACAGCATCAAATGTATCCCCCTCTACCACCCCTACCAGAAGTGCAGCTGCAGCTTGGTGGTGGCTGCAAGGGGCCCTTACGTGTTCTGGTGCCTCCTGTTGATCTCCAAGGCGGGCCTGAAGGTCCACAATTCCCACGTGACGGGGCTCCACTCCCTGCCCATCGTGTCCATGACGGCGGACAAGCAGAACGGCACGGTGTACACCTGCTCCAGCGACGGGAAGGTCAGGCAGCTCATCCCCATATTCACAGACGTGGCTCTGAAGTTTGAGCACCAGCTGATCAAGCTCTCGGAGGTGTTTGGCTCCGTCAGGACTCATGGAATTGCTGTCAGCCCGTGCGGGGCGTACCTGGCGGTCATCACAACCGAGGGCATGGCCAACGGGCTGCACCCCGTCAACAAGAACTACCAGGTTCAGTTTGTCACCCTCAAAACCTTCGAGGAGGCGGCTGCACAGCTCTTGGAATCTTCTGTCCAGAACCTTTTCCGGCAGGTGGACCTGACGGATCTTGTGCGCTGGAAAATTCTGAAGGATAAGCACATTCCTCAGTTCTTACAGGAGGCACTGGATAATAAGATTGAGAGCTGTGGTTCCACTTACTTTTGGAGGTTTAAGCTGTTTCTCCTGAGGATTTTGTATCAGTCCATGCAGAAAGCTCCCTCAGAGGCCACGTGGAGACCTTCACACGAGGATGCCAAAATCTTGATCTCGGATTCCCCTGGGATGGGCAGCACTGAGGATGATCAAGAGGAAGGAACTTCGAAACAAGCCAGCAAGCAAAGCCTGTGTGACACAGGCAAAGGTGTGGACTTAGATGACACTGCAGAGGATTCTCTCCATCAGTCAAGTGACACTGGAGGGCGGGAGCCAATGGAGGAAAAACTTCTTGAAATACAGGCCCAGATTGAGGCCGTGGAAATGCACTTGACACGGGAACACATGAAACGGGTGTTGGGAGAAGTTTATCTACACACATGGATTACAGAAAACACCAGCATTCCCACCAGAGGAGTCTGTGACTTCTTAATGTCTGATGATGGCTACGATGACAGAACGGCACGAGTAAGTGACCTCTGTGCTCAGGGGATTCCATGTTAGGAGTTATTTCCTTCTCCCCCCTCCTGAACATACAGCTGGGGTGGGAAAGAGAAGTGCAATCGTGTCATCCTTACCAGTCAGCTCCTCCAGAGCATTCAGCTTAAATTGCCCTTCCTTCAAGTTGTGGGGTAGGAAGGAATGTAAACACAGATGGTGCATTTTGGATCAGGTACAATAAAGAATAATCATGCCTGAAGTTTGGCAGCACAAGAGAGAGGACCAGGGTTGTTCTGCTGCTCTCAGTGACTTAAAACATGTACCAATTGAGAGAGATGTTTGTTTTCATGACTGAGCTTATTTAATCTATCATCCCTGCAAAACTAAACTTTGGATGCATTTCCTCTAGTCAGTTATGCTGCAGTTCCAGTTTTAAGAGCTGCAGAAGTATCATTTCTGAAAGTATCTATAATTGAGCTCTGTGGTTGTTCAGGTGGTACATCAGGTCTTGGCATTGCTCCCTGAGCCTTCAGTGGAAGGATCAGCTCCAGAGGTTGAGACAGGTGGGAACACTCTGCATCAGCCTCCTGGCTCTTAAGACTCAATGACAAGAAAGGTTCAGGTGTCTCTGTACCTCTGTGTGTGAGCAGAGAACAGTTCTTTTTCAGTCCCTAAGTTCTTAAATCACTCGAACTCTAAAAAAATCAGCCTTTACTTTGCATCCAGAGGGACAGGGGAAGGAAGCACATGTCCATTACTGATGTATGTGGTGTTCTCCCTGCTGGAATCACAGGCAAGTGTGGCCATCAGTAATTCACTGGGAAAGTATTCTGGCACAACTGGTGGGTTGTTACAGCGTCCAGTTACTATGAATTGAAGGTTTGAGAGGTTGATTTTCTTATCTTAGAAACAAGATTCTTGTTTTATAATCATTAAAAGCTGACTTCTAGACTGTATTTTATCTGTTCAGTTTGCTGTCACACTGTAAAGATCCTTAGGATATGGTTTGTATCTGTTGAAACATCAGAGACAAATTTGATCAAATAAATGTTCCACTATACTCCAAGGTGGCTGCTAAGGACATGCATCCATTTCTGAACAGGAATTATTTTTTAGCACATCCACTGTGATAGTCATGAGGGGAAGCATTGTTGTAATGGTCAGTGGTGTAATACCAGTTCCTTCAGTACTTTTAAAATAGCTTAACATTGTTGCTTTTCAGGTCTGTGTCCCTTTACTGTGGGACAGAAATCTTTGGGAGATGACAACACGAGGAGAATAAATGAACACTTAGTGGTGTGTTACGTTTCTTACACCTTCATTTCTTTGAATTCAGTGCAATTCCTGTATCATGCTCTGAAACCACAGTACCCTGGGAGGCATTTCCACCCCTCAGCTGTGTTCCTATAATCCCTGCTGACTCCTGTGTGTTCCAGGTGCTGATTGGGCACATCCTGAAGAAAATGAACAAACAGACGTTCCCGGAGCACTGCAGTTTGTGCAAAGAGATCCTGCCCTTCACCGACCGCAAGCAGGCCGTGTGCTCCAACGGGCACATCTGGCTCAGGTAACGGGCTCTGCAGGAGGTTTTACCCTCCTCTGGATCATTTAAACATGCTTTAAGAGTTCACCTAAACTGCTTGTTAGTGTTGGAGTAAAAACTCACAAAACATGTTATCTATGCTGCAGTGTTTGCTGGCTGCTATTTGTCCTCTTCCATGAGAGAGAGAGAGGAGGTTGGATTTGGTTCCATAGCAGTACAGTGTTTTTATAATAAAATGCTTTTTGATCATCTTTTTTTTTTTTTCCACGTGGGGGGAAGGTGGGGACAGGGAAAAAGCAAGCAAGGGAAAATTAAGGACAACTCATCCTCTGTGGAACATCGGGTGAAGAAGGGTGTGTTCTGGCTCCTTCAGTGTTTGAAAACAAAAGCAATTTAACAAAAAAAGGTTGAAAACAGGCACACTGAGAAGTCAGACAAGTTCTGGAACATCTAGAAAATTAAATCTTCCTATGTGGGGTTCACTGAGATTGTCCCTGAAGCCTTGGCAAGACAGTAGTCTGTCACAAAGATAAAACTTTGCCTAACTGGTACTATGTGCTACTTTGGGTAAATATTCATGGCCTTAAGGAGCCTCAAGCTTTTCACGTCCTCTCCTGCATGCTAAAAATTTTTTGGCCAATGATGAAGCCTTTTTCAGTGGTATATTGATAAAATGCCTTGTCCTTCCACAGGTGCTTTCTGACCTACCAGTCCTGTCAGAGTCTGGTGTACAGGAGGTGTTTGCTTCACGACAGCATTGCACGGCACCCAACCCCAGAAGGTAAATTGTCCTTGGCAAAAGGGGCAGGATTAGGTGTTTTTAACTTTCATCTGCAAAATGTCTTGAATTAGTTTCATTGGCTTTTCTCTTTCAGGCAGTTACCATGTGAAGCTCTAGTGCTCTGCATTTCACAGTGTCCTGTTGTCTGACGTGTTAATTACTAATCAGTGACTGCAGAAATTGATGTATAAATCCACATTTTAATGAGAGCTGGGTAAACACAATCTGTGCTGGAATGCTACAGCAGTTAGTTTATATTCAGGTTGAATATATTAGCATCCAGTTATGGAAGAGGGACAAAGAAACAGGAACCAAGGACTGTGTTATGTGAAGGATCTAATTTCAGTTTAGAAAATGAGAACAGTACATTTGTGCCATAGTGAACCTTTAAATTTATTTCCTATATAGGTATTTAGATGAGTGTGTAAGGATATAGCACAGACTGTTTCACCTTCATTTTGTCTCCTGCTGAGGTGGAATTTAAACTGGCATTGCTTAAAATTTCAGAACAGAAATGGAGCTGGATACAAACTGTTCAGGATTCCTCTTTGTGCATCTCAGGTGTCATTCCTCTGTTCACCTCTACCCCCAGCTTTGAACAACTTGTTTTCTTATTTGCAGATCCTGAATGGATCAAGAGGTTATTGCAAGGACCTTGCACGTTCTGTGACTCTCCTGTGTTCTAGAGAAAAGCTCTGCAAAGACTGAAAGCATTTTCTCTACTCCATAAGCTCCCTTCAGCCTTGAAGGACACAGAGCACAGGAACACAGACTCTGCTGGAGGGGGAACACCTCATCCACAGCCCTGTACATAGAACATCGGAGGTTCTGGAAACTCCTCAAGTCCAGAGCCCATTCCATGCTCCAGAAACAGGAGTACACCTGGAAGAGCCAGTTTAAAAGAGGTTTGGAAGAGCACCCCATGGAAGGCTCAGCAGCTGGACACTGACAGCTGAAGTGTTGAGCACAGTGTGAACTGTCCTTTCTGCCCAACTGTGTCATTTCCCAAAAGCTGGGACGGGAACATGGAGCTGCCTCTGGAATGGTCCTGGTGGGTAGAGAAAGCTTCAGCTTGTAGTGCTCCCTTTGCTTTTTAACAAGCACTGGCACTTGCTGCAGAATATTAAACTGTCAAAAGAATTTGTGGCTCCAATTCCTTGCCGAGTGAAGCACGTGCCAGTTACAGCCACAGGAAAGAAATTGGCCATTCCAGCAGTTCCCCTTAAAGTCTGGAAGAATAACTGCCTCATAACTGTTGTAACACTATTGAAGTCAGGAGGGGGATATTGGCTGCCTGGGTCAAATAGGGATCAGTAAAAATAATTTTTAAATGTAATAATTATTAAACTAATAGCAATTAGATTAAACACTAATAATATATATAATTTCCAATGCTCTTTAATCTCTTACCCCACTTTCTTTTTCTGAACTAACTCCTTCCCAGCTTTTGCCAATGTATTTGCCTTTGGCTTCACTTAACCCTCTACCAACAGGAATCATCTTTTCCAGTGTAACTCAGTTACCAAAAACATTACTAATTTACCTTATTTTCAATTAAATTGCAAGTCTCCCTCATCCAGGAATTGAATTTTACACAAGTCTGACACACAAGCAATCGCTCCCAGCTGACAGTCTCTCTTTTCACAGCAACACAGTAAAAAACCCCAAACAAAGAGAAGGCCCAAACCAAACCCCCACCATGGCTGACATGTTCTAGGTAAGGCCAAGGAGGCTGGTGAAGCTATTCATGGATCACAGAATGGTTTGGGTTGGAAGGGACCTTTAGGATCATCTCGTTCCACCTCCCTGCCATGGGCAGGGACACTTTCCATTATCCCAGGTTGCTCCAAGCCCTGTCCAACCTGGCCTTGGACACTTCCAGGGATGGGGCAGCCACAGCTTCTCTGGGCAACCTGTGCCAGGGCCTCCCCACCCTCACAGGGAAGAATTTCTTCCTAATACTCTATCTAACCCTGTCCTCTGTCAGTGTGAAGCCATTCCCCCTTGTCCTGTCTCTCCAGGCCCTTGTAAATAGTCTCTCTCCATCTTTCTTGTAGGCTCCTTTAGGATAAGCCTGACTCCCTCATCCAGAGATTCATAAACACACCAATGATGTAGTGTGGCTGAGCCCAGACATTTATTTTGCCTTCTGACTGTCCTATCAGAAAAAACATCTCTCTCTCTTTGCCATCTGTTCCTACCAGGAGCAGGAGAATCTTTTTCAACTTCCTATGCAGTGTTAGAGGAATAACACCTCCAAAACGTGTCTGGTTACCTGGTACAGTTTGTCTTGTTAACTTCAATCCATTAACTGTCAAATAATCCTGAGTTTATGTATTTCCATTCTGCAGAGCATCAGTGGCAGAGGTGTCGCCCTGTTTGTGATTCCTGACACTTTAACTGTGTGGGAGGTGCTCTACAGCTGTTGAGAAATCATGGAATTGTCCTGACAGCATCAGTCTCCCAACAGTGCATGTGTGATTGGTGCTTGGTTCCTCGATTCAATGACTATGCATATTTTGGTAACGTTCCTTCACCTTCAGTAGGAACGAGTTTTTGTTCAGCTCACATTAAACAAGTCAGCTGTCCTTCTGTTCAGTGTCTCATGCATAAGCATGATTGTGCTGAGAATAATATTACTACAGTAGCCTAGAACAGCAGAAGCACATTCATCTGTAAAATAATTAGCCTCGTTTGTAAATATCCTTGGAAGTGGTACCATAATTGTATTAAAGAAATGTTTAGTTTTTTATTGCTGTGCATTGAAAATTGAAATTACTTCAGTGTGTCTGCAAAGAAAGGAAATGTAGCTCGTGATGGCATCCAGTAAAACACAGAGTAACCTCAATACCCAACGTGTGTGGAGGCTGGGGCCAGCTCTGGGACCTGGGACAACACTGGTCTCCTTCCCAGTGCTGATGGGGCTTGAGGGGAATAGAACGTCCATTTCCAGCATGAGCTGAACAGGTGGTTTACTTGTGGTGCTTGAGAAAGTATTCTGAGTGGAAGCTGCAAGTCCTTGCCCTGACAGTCATGACCTGCTCATCAGTAAATGTTCCAATTGAGAAACTCTCCTGCCTGTGGAAAAGGGGAGGGAGCTCTGCAGAACCACGTCAGTGCTCTTAGAAAAAGTCAAAGGTCACTTCTTTGATAGTGGCTCAGAAACCATAAAAATATCCTGATCTGCTGAAGTGTTTTCAGTCTGGCTGACCCAAAGGTTCAGCATGATAACAGATCAGATTGATTCCTAGTGATTACTTCTGTAACTCTTGAATTTCCCTGGATTGAGTTTTAATGCTTTCCCATGTAGAAGCTTAGCACACCTCACATTAATGGGGTGGCATTAATGTTCATTTTCCTTGTCTCTCAAGGCAGTAAATACTCAGTCTAGCATTGCCAGTTTATTTAACCTGGTTTCAGACTGCAGGGAGAGGGGAATTTTAAAGCCCACAATGTCAGCTTTGCATGCCAGTGGCGATCCTTTGGCACGAAGCTTTCGCTTCTCACCTGACCCATTCACAACAGTACACAGGAATTGTGATTTCATTTTTGTTTAAACCAGCACTCATCCCTCAGTGCATTTTTAACCAGCACAGGCTGGAACAGCAGAGCCCACCTCAGGCAGTAACATTTAACCCCTGGTGCTGCTCTGACGGGGTTTTTTTGCCCAGTGAGCAGCTGAGGCTGCTGCAGGAGACCTTTTGCCTCCTGGACTCATGATGTGCAGTTCTGGGAACACAGAGGTTAGTCCCGTTCCTGGAGCAGTGTAACAACCCTCACACTGTCCTAATCAAACCTCTTGCCTTCATCCCATGAGAAAGGTAAACTGGAGCAAGGTGGGAGCAGAACAGCTCTGGATTGTACAGTGTCTCAGTGCCTTGGTGCTTGATGCCATTCTTGGAACGAAGGTGGGAGTTTGGGGTCATGAGGACTCAGTCTTGTCTCCAAATTACACCCCCTGCTCTGGAAGTGGTGACACGGGACCTCATTGCTGCCTTTTACCTCAGTTCAGCTCTGGGTCAGCAGCTTCATCATTCAGTCACCCTTTCCTTTTGTGTGTTTCCTCATCCTATTAATCCTGTGGCATATTTCTAGAGAGGAAATGCTATGGTTGCTAATGCACAAAGACAATAAGTATCTCCCTGATTTTCTTAAATTTACCAGGATTTCCACAGGCTAATGTACCATCAGTGATCATGAGCAACACAACACCACTTAGTCTGTCCTCATTAAGGGTTTCTTGACATAAAAGAACTGAATGCAAACACAGTCCTAGTTGAAGGCCAACAGATCACACTGTTATGCCCTGAAATACCCTTTACAGGAGACCTGTTTGTACAAGTGGAATCTCTCCAATACAGAGCCTTTCCTCTATGACTTCCCATTTGGGAAGCAGGACAGCCTTGCAGGCACAACTGCTGGAAGCTCAGGTGCCACCTACAGCTCTGGCATTGGGGAGAGGATGAGGAAGAGCCATTCCTGCTCCTCAGAGCCATGGAGCAGGTCAGGGTTAATGGCTGGGGCTGGTGCCATCACCTGAGCAGCATCCAAACCTCAGGGGAGAGGTAAGAGCAGGGAAATCTTTCAGGAGCCTCAGGGGGTTCCTGCAGAGATGGTGCCAGAGGTACAGGGTTTCCTGTCCAGGGGTGTTCAAGTGTCCTTCCACCACTGAAGGATCTGGTGTCTGGAGCAGGTGGCACAAAAGTTTGTGGAACAGTTGGACAAACATCTTGTTGCTCAACTAGGTAATGAACAGCATAACATATAGGGTATGGCACAACCTCCAAGCAGCCCTCTCTGCAAAGTGTCTCTGGGAAGCAGAGTGATGGAAGATGTCCATTCCAGACCCAGACAAGCCGTACAATAAGTAAAATCTAATCCCTGCTGTGTTCTTCCCACCTCCTCTTTACCTTGTTTTTCTCATTGCTCAACATTTGTTTTGCCAGAATCAGATGCTAATAAAATCAAGCGCAGTTACCAAATTGGTTTTCAAGTGTTGCATTCCAATTATAAAAGCCTAATTCCTCCTTCCACCCACTGAACCTTTTTGGCATTAACAGGCTTTACTATGCAAAGTCATGCAGGGGCTGTTTCGTTTACAGTAATTAAATGAATGTCAATTGTTTTAGTTGTTTCTGAGGGAGAGTTCTACATGAGTATTAGCATGTTCTGCTAACCCTTACGTTCTGCACTTCAGGCCTGCTGCAAACCCTTGGGGGTTGACCATTGACCTGAGACTCCATACCCAGACATGCCAAGTGCATCTCAATGAGACTGAGCTCTTTTTCTCAGTTTCTATGGAACCAGCGGAGCAGAACTAATATAGAGCCCGCATATAGATGAAAGAATGAAGAGGAAAAAGGGCTTTACAGCTAAATTAATTAAGCAGATGTACCTGTCTAATTAAAGATGCGCTGTCCCTTTTGTACCCCAGCCGCAGTACAAACAGTATTTAAATACACTCTCTTCCCATTTCATCTATCAAAATATTTAGTAGGAACGCTCAGATGAAGGTGATATTAGCAAGATGAGCTTCCCATGTATTATTAATAGAAGGGCTCCCAATTATGCATGAATGCTACAGCATGTCTTGATAGCAATGGCATAAAAACCAGCTGCCCGAGCAGTTACCAAACAGCACATTTGTAACAGGTAGGACTGTTACAAATGCCTTGCCAGCTGTACACGAGGGTTTGTGGCTGAGCCCTGTGCCCTGGGAGCAGCCTCTGCCTCAGCCTGGCACCAGGAGCTGGAATTTCTCACTTTAAGAGGCATCGAGGACTCAGCTGCTTGGATTTGGCTTTCTTAGATTTCAAAGATACTCACTCTGAGATTTTTAAGACTTCCAGCCCTCAAGGCTGCAAAGTCCAACTCCCATTCACCAACCCTGCCACAGGTATTGAAAATTCTGACTTTAAAACCTCCCAAAATAACACAATATTCCCATAGCTATCCAGATAACCAGGGTCTTCCTGCCTGAAATTACTCTAGAGGAACAAGAAGGAAATTCAGCATGTACATCTCTCAGTTCTCCAAACAGACTCAGACACACACAGTTAATAACAGCAACAAAGACCCAAAGCTGTTTATAGCAAGTCAGAAAAGTCATCTAAAACCAAAAGGCTTCTAGAGGCCTGTCCTCTCTGAAGGGAGAAGGCATTTGCCTCCTGCACATTCCCAGACACAGAGACTTCCAGGAGAAAGCTGAAGCTCCTCCCCATCCCCTGGTCAGGGGGAATTCACACTCACACACAAGGGAGGAATAGAGGGAGCTGTAATAGAGGCATCAAATGCAGTTCCCCTCTGAGCCACAGCACAAATCACACCCCTTTCCCACAAGCATTAAGGATGTGCAGAATCTGAGACAGCTAAACGAGTGCTGTGCCTTTCATCAGAGCTTTGCCAGTTAAGAAAGGCTTACCTGAGCATTTACTGCAGCCAGATCCAGCCAGAGCAAAAATCCTGAGCACCAACCTGCCCTGGCACAGCCCAGTCAGGGCAGCTACAGGCTGGGAGCTGTGCTTCCCCCAGGAAAACAGAATTAGTAACTTCTCTGCTCCTGCAACTCATTAGGTCCTTGATTGGGTTCTGAAAATGATGAACCTGCAGACAGTTTCCTGTGGCTCTGGAGATCTTTTCCAGCTGTCCTGAGTCTTCCTGCCCAGCAGAACAGGGTGACAGGGATGGCTGGTGCTTCTGCACAGGGTTTTATCAGCATTTTTTGAGCAATCTGAGTTGACAAGGGAGTAAAAACCTCTGCACCCTGACCTCAAACACTGTGTTGTCTTTGGGGACAGTTCACTGCAGAGCTGGGAGCTTTGTTTTCCTCATTCTTTAGTGGTTGCTGGCAGCAGCCTGGGACAGAGCAGTGCCTGTGTGGTTTTAGTGGAGAGCACTGGGTGAATTAAGACACAAACACATCTAACAGCTTTAATACTCCAGATTGGCTTCGTGGGTATTGCACAGTTAAGACAAAACCACTATTCAGAAAGAGAAAAAGATATTTGAATTAAACAGGACTTCCCTCACCACAGTGTTTCATACTTTACATCATGAAGCAAAAGCCAAAAAAATTTCCTCTAAAGCCCAGTTTCTTACTCTCTGTACTTCACTCAGCCTTGGTGAGCTCCAAATTTAACACAGCTTGGCTGACTTCCTCTTCCCTTGTGATAACCTGCCACTTCAGCAACCAGACTGCAAATATTACAGGGAAAAATTTAAAATCAACTCTTCCAGAAACCATCCTTTTTAATTACAAATGTCTAAATTTCCTACATGGAAGGGGCTTAATGATACAGCTTTCTATGAACTCAAAGACAACATAAGGGTCTTGGTCAGCATTGACATAAAAGGCCTCTTCATAAAAATCCTCCAGGTCCTTGACATTGCTGTAATAGGTTTCCAGGCGCTTCTCAATATTTTCTTCCTCATCTCTGGGGTTCTGCCTGAGCCGGGCCTGGATCTCTGGGGTGGGAGCTGGTCTGAATGTGGTGTGGTACCTGGAGGTGAGAGAGAAATGCCACTGTGTCAGCCCAAGCTGAGGACACAGCAGCCATTTCCTGATACTCCATGTTTTTGCCTATCACAGTTCCTTGGATGTGCCTCTTTCTACTTTAGGATGGGGTTTTAAAACAAAGGATTCAGCAGGACAGAGGGTTCTCATCCCCGGAGTCCTGCCAGATGACACCAAAGGAATTCTGAGGGAGTTCCAGCATTGCCAGAGGCTCCCAACAATCTCTAAAAGCTCCTTTGCAATCAGGTGTTTAAATTCCCTGCCATGGGAATTGGTAATTCTAACTCTGAGTAAATGCCTCCTCTGCCCTGACACAAAACCAGTTTATCCCTCTTCCTGTACAGCCAAATTTTCTGACGGTTTTGGGATAGATGCAAAGGCAAGGAGAGAAGCAGAGTTTGGGTCTCTGCACAGAGCTGCATTCCAGCTGCAGCTGGTACTGGATGTGGACACAGAGTCCATTCCACAGGAGAGTCACTGAGGGCACAGCTGGAGGCCACCCTCTCCCCTGCCCTGCAGTGGTGCAGCTTTAACACGATGCCAAGGATTAGACACAGCACCCAAAACAATTCAATTCACCAGGAACTGGGGAGGAATAAAACCCAGAGTTTGGAAGAGGAAAGCGTGTTAACTGGAGCAGATGCTGAACAGATACTAATCCTGATGATAAGAAATGCAAAGATGTGTGAATGATTTGCTTCAGCCTGTTCATTTCTGCTGAACAACCACATTGCTCATTACTAAAGCAAAGAGAGCAGTTACAGCAAATCACTGCTGCTGTCACAAGTTAATGCTGCACCTCGAGTGAGATGTCTGAATAATCAGCTCTCACTTTGGGACAAATCCAGTATTTATGGCCTTAATCTTTGAGGGCTCAGTATTTGTCTTCGAGGCGGTAGGATTCAACCTTTAGAAAAGTAAAATAGTGGTTTAAAAATTTAAGTGTGGGGAACCATAAAAACAGGCCACAAGTGAAATTGTAAATACACACCATTTCCAGCAGGTATTTAGGAAGATAAATTTGTTACTTGTTCCCCAAAAAGCAAGGAGGGAGAAGGCAGTAAAGCTGAAGGTCGTTGGGGAGACAAGGGGATGTGATGCCAGCGAGATGAACTGCCACGTTGGAGAGCCCAACCTTCCAGTGACTCAGTGGCTCCAACGAGTTTGCTCTACTGAGCAGGAAATGTATTAATACCTTCCAGCAGACAGGACCATCACAGGAGCCTGGGGAAGCAAAATGCAGCAAGTTTTCCATTTTCCCCAGCTGGGATGCCCTCAAAACTCCCATGGGAATGTCTGAAAACCATCTGCATTTAGGCTTGGCTTCAGACATCTTCCCTCAGCATTATGTTACCAACCAATTCAGTTACCATTAAAATGTTAGACCCGAGCTATTTGCTCCTGTAAGTTTTAAATCCTGTAGGCTCCAGGATTTAAAATGCCCTGTTCTGAGAGGAGCAGCTGCTGCAGCAGGAAGGTGGGTTGATGCTCCAGGAGCTATGAAAGTTTGAACTTTTCTTTTAAGGAATCCCTAAGCAAGAGTACAGTATTCCCAAGTTCCTGAGATTTCTATGAAGTCTGACTGGTGCTTTCATCTCACTGGCAGTCTTGAAAAATGTTAAACATGAGGCAGGAGTGCAAACCTTTGCCCAGTGATGGGATCCGTCCTCCGCTGGGACAGTCGCTCCATGATGGACTCATAGGGCAGATTAAAGAAAAATACCCTGTGGAGAACATAACAATTAAGTGCATTAACACCCCAAGAACATCACCTGTGACCTTCAGAGTATGAGTTAATCCTTACCCAAACAAAGGGCACACTCAAACATGGCAGTGACAGTAGCACCCAAACCTGCAGCGTCACCCACACGAGCACAGGCACAGGATCTCTCCTCAGCTCCTTTTCCTCACAGGTTTTTGGTCTCTGGGACAGCAAAGCAGCAGCTCTCTGGCACACTGACTGTGTGTGCTGTGTGCACTGACAGGGCAACACTGGGCACAGAGACCAGTGAGGGAATTCCTGCTGGAGCCTCTCTCAGGGTCCGTCACAGCCTGCTCACCATCCAGCACTTACCTCTGAATTTCTCTGGATCCAGCTTCTCAGCCCAATACCAACTACAGTCACAATGACATGCTGCAAAAGGCAAATTCAAAATGTCTGCTGTTCCTGTCAAGGACAGAAAAAGGGCTTGTCTGCCAGTATTATACATTCCTCCCTAAAACCAGCACTGCACTACTCGGTGCCCATGAGAGGGATTTTCCTCCTGCTGTTTTAGTCCACTTCCACTTCTTTTGTCCTTGTCTCCCCACAGTGGGAGTCCTCTGGGCTCCCACTCCTGTCCTGCATCCTTGAAAGCAGGATGAGTAACAGGACATAAGACATGGCACATGCTGCTGCTGACAAGTCCCTGTCCCTCAGGGAGCAGTGCCCGGGCACGGGGAGCAGCCCTGCCTGGCAGAGCCTTGCTGGTGACACTGTGGAAAGCAAACATTAATGCTTCATTTTAAGACCAAAACCTGCAATTCCCACTGAGTCTGAACAAGAGAGAATTGCTCAGCACCTTAAAGGCTCAGCCCCTCAGTGCCAGTGGTGAGGGTTCCACACCAGGAACAGCTTTTCTCTAGAGGATGGAGTAGGACTTGCCAACTCATTTCTTACGGGTGACACAAAAGCCTGACTTGGATCAAGGATGCAAAACCAGAAAACAACATCCACCACTCCTGACCCCAGGCACACCACACTGTGCACATAAACTGTTGTGCCCATCTCACACTGACTCCCCCTTGGCACTTTGGTTCATTATAATAGTCCCGTTAATTTTATGTTCATGTTCAAAATCTCTTCAGCAGAAAATTCTTGACAAACTGCTGAGCTTGAGCAGACCTGAGTCCCCTGTCCCCCAGCTACTGGAGACTAAAGCAGATCTGCACAAAGATCACATTCAACAATTAATGCAATAAAAATAAAAAGTAAGGCTTCCTTTGAACCTATGAAAATGAGTTTTTACCAAGAGAGCACGACCTGAAGGCTGCGAATACATCTTTCTTTATAATACACCTTCTCCTGCTGCTGCCTTCAAGGCCAGGCTTCCTATTTTCATTTTTGTCTGCCTCTCACAGGAGATTCTGCGTGCTTTAGACAGTCACCAAAGGAACATTTTACACTGACTGGGTGGGATCAGACCAGATGAAAGGCTGAGCTTTACCTTGGCGTGCACATAGCAGATTACGAGAATCCTTTGTAGGATTTAAAGTTATGAAAATCATCTCTCTTTTCAAATGTTTACAGATAATGACTTCTATTCACACTGTGGTAACAAAATAACAGCCAGGAATAAAACATTCAAGATCTTGGAGATTCCAAAGACAGGAAAAGAACAACAGTTTCAACACTCTTTTATCCCTTACACTCTTAACATTTTGTTTTTCTTTGTTTCTGTTGCCCAACAATGGCACAAAAACGTGATTGTCAGAACAGGTAACATCTGATGATGTGTCTCAAGATGAATATTCTAGTAGAGAGGAACAACATTTATACAGTCATGATAATTGATACGGCTTCCTATTATATTCTCAAATAAACAAACCCACTAAAGGATTATAACCTGGCATATCAAGAAAGCTTGTCGTAATTCATAGTTACTAACACAAAAAAGTATTATGGTATTTGAAACAGAAGAGCCTAAAAAACTCCACTTAAAAAGCTGCCAACAAAATGAACTCTGAAAGCCTTGTCTGAGATTCCCTTCCTTTTTAAACAAGATGCTGCTTATTATCCAGTCTGGTGTCACCATTAAAGAAGAGTGCAGGGAAGATGTGGGAGGGTACAGACATCCCTGCTAATACGGATTTTTTTCCCCCAACATCCACTATATAACAACACACACAGAATATGCTGTTCAACAGCACAAACTCCCAGTCCAAGGGTCCTTCCAGGGGAAGGTGGGATGCCTTACCCTGCCATTCCACACATCTCCTGTAGATAAGTAAAAACAACACTCCCCAGGGCTGTCAGTTTAAAATCGTTCAGAAGCAGGAAAAAAAGATGAAGGGGAAAACCACTGACAGAACTACAGTCTAGACTTAAAATACTTCCAATTAGAAAGCTTTATTACCATTTTGAAGGAGACACATACCCCACACAGCCTATTATGCAGCCCCAGGAGGTTTACTCACATGAGTAAAGCCCATTTACGTGTGCACTCTGTGAAGCCTTAGCCTTGGCTATGTGATACATCTCCTGCAGCTCCTCAAGGTATTGCTGAGCAACATTTCACCTCTGTCCCTCTCTCAGCCTACTGTGACTCTGATCACATAACAAACCTGACCCTCCAGCTGTCCAGGTATAATATTTGTTGGATTTCTCTCGGAAATCCCCATAAGACAGAGAGCTGCACCCATGACCTTGATCCAGCAGTAACTGGAACAACTCCCTGCAAGCACCGGATTCATCTCCAAGCAGAGCTTGGCCCCCTTTCACACACCAAGTGTGATTTTTTTTTCACATAAATGCATCCTCTGTAAAGCTCACTTTAGGAATCAGCCAGGCTTTGTAATGTGTCACAACTTCTATCATGGGGAAATATGAAACAGATGTCATCAGAACTGGCAGACAGGGAGGCGAGGAAACACAGCCTCATATCAAAGTACACCACATTATCCTGCTGGATTAGCATCCAGCACAGCTCCCCTTCCAGGGCTGTTAGTTCACCTCCAACAGGGGAGTGGTGTCAGTCAGCACCAGGTGAGGTGCTCCAGGAATCTTCAATCCTGTGTCACAGGCTCAGCATCCACCCACAGGCAACCAAAAATCACTGGCACCCAGTTACAGACTGGTGCTCCCAGTTACAGACTGGTGATCTGTGGGGCAGAACTGGGTGGAACCTCCCAGGTCTCTGAGGACAAACATCCCCCTGACTCCCACTGAGTGGCAACATTGCTGCTGGATGCAGGACTGGAGCCAAGGGATTCATAAGCACAGCTCTGTCCCTCCTCCTTTGTTCCATCTCCCAGGAGAAAGTCCAGCCCTCGCAGGTTGCACTGATAATAAAACCATTAACACAAATATTAAAAGGCAAAATGAGTGTCAGAATCCTGCCTCTTCCTCACTGTACTTGACATCACTGATCTGATCTCTTGCAGCTTCCAGACACATTAGAGATTAAATTCCAACAAATTAATAATGTTGATGACACCTTCACTGTGTACCCAGTCAAATGAGAGCTGGTTGCCTTTGGATGACGATGGAATATATTCCAGTTCTAACAGCTGGAATATAACATTGTTTTCCTACCAGCCATCTGGCATTCCAAAGGGGTATTCCAGTTGCTTCTGGCTACTCAGATAGCATCATCTAAGATCCTGGAGGTCACCAGGGCATCCTGATGGCTTCCCTTCTCAAAGGGAGAGAGGAGAAGGTGAGGCACAGGTGGCAGAAGTGTTATTTCACACCTGATCGTGAGACAACATTTTTGGAAAAATATGTCACAACCACACAATAAGTGAAGGAAGATTTTTTTTGACCTACACAACAGCACTCAACTAATCCTGAGCTGCATTTGTTCCAGATGGCAGCCAACCCAGTTAATCCAAGTTATTAACAACTGGCAGTGCTCAGAGCTGTCCTCGGAAGAATTTATTGGTGGTGCTTTTCCTGTTTTCTGGGTATAATGTCACCACTTAAAGTACCTGTAATGAAAAATTATGAGTGTTGCCATAAGACAAGCAAGTGCTGTGTGCCTGAATCCTGGTATCCCTGTACTAGGGAATGAGGAACACTCCTCCTGCTATGGAGAGTCCCTTTCCAGGATGGCTCCACTGCCCTTCCATCCAGCTGCTTTCACATCTCCAGAGAACTGAAGCTCTGCCACAGCCTTCCATCCCTTTAGGTCCTGTAATTTAAACCCAGCTGTTTTATGAGGCTGACCTGGATGGATCCAGATGTTGACTGTTCTAAACCTGAGCTATCTTCTTAGGTCAGATTCTCATCCTTGGCATTTGCCATCACCTGGAGTTGCTCTGGATAGACATTGGTGGAGTGGAGCCCAAAGCCAAGCCCTTTTTAGAAAACTACTGTCTGTGAAATTAGACCTATACCATTAAATCCCATCGAATTCATACCTTGTTTTCATTTAAGGATATAAAGACAACACACCATGATGTCTGAGACAGGATCCTGACTCCCCAGATGGTTTTTTAAAAACAGAGACTACTGACTTACTCGTGGCTATACCAGGGCCAGATCAAGCCTCACAATAAAGTTAGGATGCTGAATTAAAACAAAGATACAACACCAACCACCACTGGGCCACTTTTAAATGTAGCATTTAAACTTTTGATTTGAAACTGCAACTTTAAAAATAGTAAGCTATTAATCTTTCCCTTTTTTCTTGACTCCTATACATCTTCCCTGTCTCAGGCAGGTACCAGCTGCCATATTCCCATTCTTCACGCTCTGCACTCTGCAAAAAAAAAAAAAAAAGAGGCCCCTGCTGGCCAATTCTTGTTTAAAATTGTGCATAATTGATAGTGGCAAATCTACCCCAGCTGTGTCTAAAACCTCTCCAGGGGCAAGAAAAACACTCTCTGTGACTGTCATTAACTACTAAATTAGCAAGTGCTCCTGGCAGTTTACAACGTACCACATCAGTCTGCTTTAAAAAAAAAAAAAGTATGTGAAGATCAGATGCTTTGTGTGATCTCAAAGTTACAGCAAACTTTGGTG